CCTTGAAATTTTAGATTCTGAGATTAACTAATTTACAGAATTAAAAGATGTAGTTCAAATTACACATCCTCAGAAACTATTACCAAACATTATACGACCTAACATCTCCAAAGATGTAACTGCATTAGAAACTTTCAAAATCTTCATGAAAATTAGAAAAGCCTGTTTGAATTCCGAACGCATTAGTCTGAAAGAATATATAAGACCTAGTCAATCCTTTAAATGCTGCCAATATGGACATATTTAAAAGAATTGTTAGAGGGAAGTGACCTGCGTCCAATATGCAGATATTGGTCATAACATTAAGAATCGTGGAAAACAAGGCCAAGATTGCATAAACTGTTCAACGAAATATCAATAATGTGCGACAGTTTGATTCAAAAATCTATCCTTCAAGACAGATGGAAACAGGTGAACTAAGAAAGAGAATTAATTATGGTTAATTCCACTAGTAATTCGATAAGAGCTATCTAAATCTCAAGCTGCTACAGGACAGCTAAAATTAGAGCCACAAAAATATGACTTGGCATTTATTCAAGAACCATTTTGTATAGAAGGAACACCTTTGGAATTTCCGATCCATTGTAAATTTATCTGTCATACTGACTCAGTACCTCGCGTGGCTACAATAGTTCAAAACTTGAACTTGAATTCAATAAACATTTGCACTACGAGAAATTTAATAGTGGCAGATATGGAACTGGAACAAAAAAAAAAAAAAAAAAAAAAAATTTGCAATCATGGGAATTGTTCAGAGGAAGTGACCTCTTTGGTTGTGGGCTTGACAGATTTGACGGAATTGCTGAAAGAGCTTGAAGGCTTCCTCCCTAATAGTAATACAATACAGATTCTAGACAATTTTTTTGCAAAATGTGAACTACTTGTTTCACCATTTGAAGACTCCACGTGGTCTTCTACTCAGAGAGTACTTCATTTCTAATGATGTTATTGAGAAAATGATCCTGTTATTCAAAAAGCTGTCCTCCAAGTTCGAGAGGAAGACATACTTGAAAGAAGATGGATTGGCTCAAATTAAACAAAAAATTCAAGAAGTTCTTCGATGAAATAAATCCTAGAATATTATTATATGTTGTTGATTTACACAATCTAATTCAACAATAGGCAAAGAAGATCTGATATGTCTGTAATGAAGCTTCCAGCTCTTTGAATAATAAAATAACAACATAGCATAGAGAAGGTGGCCTTTGTGAACCTTAACCTTGTCAATTATGGGAAATAAAGTCAGAGAAGAAAGAAGATGCTTTCAAAGTGTACTTAGGAGGAAGATTTACGAGGAAAATATATGTTAAAAAGTGTTAAAAAGAGATACTACAAGAAAGAGAAACTCATGGAGAACAAATCTAAATAAGATCTGTCTCATTTCTTCTTTTGATGTTCATTATAATAACGCAAAAGCTAGCATACAGCCTCCATTTCAGTTGAAGTCTAATACAAAAACCGCACATTTGAACGAAACTATAAGTTTGCTATTAGAAAAGCATTTTCCAAACCACTCATCCCAGGAAAACTCAGAGTTGCATAAACAGATCCGAGAAGAAGAAAGGGAAGCATATGAAGCTGTGGATGATATTCCCTTTGCAGTGCAAGAAGTAGAATATACAATTAAATTAATAAATGTCGGAAAGGAGCCGGATATTGATAAATGGCCAAGGAAAATAATTTTGTAAATATTTAATGATAATCCTGAAATTACGGCAACACTGTTCAATGAATATTTAAGAAAAGAACCTTACCAAAATGCTACAAAACATCTAAATTAGTCTTATTTTCTAAAGACGGGAAAGCAGGAGACGAACTACATGCTTACAGACCAATGTGTCTTTTAAATTCTTAGAGTAAAGTTTACGACAAATTAATAACCACAAAATTAAGTTACTTTATAAGGTATTTCTTCTACCTTTTTGGCGTGACTTCGTGGTGTAGTGGCTCTGCATACTGGGCCGGTATTCTAGAGGTCGGTGGTTCGATTCCTGGTGAAGGCGGTTGCTACCTTTTCATTTTGCCTGCTTTCAAAAAATGCCTAATGTCTCTACAACTTTTTATACTCGAATGACGAACTCGGTCATTTGCAGTATGGATTTACTTCAGGAGTCTATACGCCAGACGCAATAAAGGACTAGTAATAAAGTAATAGAAGGAATAAAAGGTACTCAAATGTTATACCTTTGGTTTAAAATATATATATATGTGGACATTCGCTCCTACAACTCAACCGCCTTTTCCTAAATCTGGCAACAGCTACAGCAGCGAGATACTTCTTCAAGCTGCGTGAGGAAACGGACAGACTTGCATGCCGATGAGGTTATGACGTGGCGATGGATGGAATTGAACTATGCCGCTCGACAATGTTGCTTGATGATGCAATTCTGTTTCATGATGAATATAACTTTTTATTTTACTTCTTTTCACTCTGTACGTACCATAATCATGTTTATTCTTTCATTGTTAAATACCCTTAAAATGCCACTGCTTTCCTCTATTTTAATCCTAACCTCAATTCACAGGGAGCTCGGCCCCTGGAACTCTTCCACCGTTTGAACTAACCACTCTAGACACCAGTATATAACTATAAATGATGGAATACTTTGGAAACCTATGGAATAATATCGCAAGATTCCAGTTGTTGTGATTCATCAACACGTAAGTAGAGGTAATTTTATTTGATGAAGTAATGCTACTCAGGAAGTAATATTCTTTCAAATTATGAATATTTGATGGCGTATTTTTATGAAGTGTATTTGAAGAAGCGAAAGGCATTTGATTTTGATTAAAATTCATTTTATTTTTGAATGATTATTACTTATGAAGAATTAACACTTCCGTTTTCGAATTTGATGTTGCTGATAATTAATTAAACAGTTTTGATGAAGTTTAATTGAATAAACTAAAGGTATTTGATTTTGATGGAAATACATTACTGACTGTTTAAAGAATTGTGATGTATTAAAAAAGTTACTTTGAAGAATTACTTTCGTTTTTGAATTTGATGCATAAATTTCTTATTTCTTGTGATGCCTATATTTTACAAGGACTGTAGAATATTATTTGAAGTTATTAATTTTGATATCATATCTTAACGTGAAATTCTATTTTTCATTCTTAACATAGTCTTATATGAAGATTTGTTTGACGATATATTTTACCATTTGTTTAAATCATATGTTCACAATTTCATTTATGATTTTTGAGTGTTTTAACATCATTATTGTATAAGAAGAATTAATATTATTGTGAAGAATACGAAACATTAAATCATCCCAACATTGCAAAAACATCCCAACATTGCACAGTCATTAAAAACTGCCAGTACAAAGCATATCAAGCTTTTACATCGTTTAGTTTTGGGCTCAGATGGTGATCGGCAGAATCGTGCTAGGTTACGCAATTTTTCTGGTTTTCCCAAACCATTTAACTTTGAAGATAAGAAACAAAAAATTATCAAAGAATTTTCTCTCACAGATTTAATTGCCATATGTAGCGACTGCATTTAGAATTTTCCACCGATATTGAAAACTGTGCTAACAATATTCTTACGAATCTAGCTGATGTCTTTATTATTAAAATCAGATCCCGCTGACCACAGCGACCTTGAAGAAGAAGTTTTGATTCAAAGTTCACCCTCGACGCGTAGCGTCGCCCAAACAACCATTAATCACACTCCAGATGAATCTTTATGTAAACAAATGGCGGCAAAAATCTCTCTTGAAAGTGCGCCTGCAAATTTATTGGTATCAACTAACCCGCAAACACAGACTGTTCCGTTTCAATGTTTTGGCTTAAAGGACATTGTTGATTTGATCAAACCCTTTTCATCTCGGGATAATTACAGCGTTGAAACCTTTATTTCTGACATAGAGGATATTTTTAATCTCTATGAGATCACGAATCCTGTACACCAAGTAATTTTTGTTAAAAAATGTCTTACAGGTCCAGCTTTAACTTTAATAAGATCAATTCGTGGAATTACTAATTGGGAACAATTAAAACACCATTTATTGGATGAATTTTCGGAAAAAAAATTAATAGCCTTCAATTACATAAAATAATGGAATCTCGTCGCATGAAACAATTTGAAACATTACACGAATATTTTTTATCTATGAGAGACCTCGCATACAGAGGTTCTATGGATGATTCTTCTTTGATTGAGTATGTTATAAATGGTATTCCTGATTCATCAAACAATAAAATAATTTTATACGGTTGTAAATCCATTCCTGAATTTAAAGAAAAGCTGAAGATTTATGAAAAACTCTTTAACAATTCAAAATATTTGAAGCAAAATACTCCAAAGAAATTTACAAATTCCTTTCCCAATGTTAAAATTGATGCTAAACGTACGTCAGACACTCAACCAGTATGTTATTCCTGTGGTCTAAAAGGACACAAACGCATTAATTGTACAAATAAACCTAATGGCAAATTCTGTTATGGCTGCCAAAATTATGGTCACGTTCATTCCAACTGTCCCAAGCGTTCTGGTAGTTCTACCACGGAATCTGCTCCTAATTTTCTACATCTGATAGTACTGTAAATGCACTTTCTGCTCAAAATTTTTCTAAACATCCGATGCATGTTGATATTCAACTTAAAGGAACTCAGTTAACTGCTCTCTATGACACTGGATCACAAGCAACACTTATTACGGAGAAAACATACCGCAAAATTCTTTCTCCACCATTACATCTTTCCAGAATTACATTTTCAGGAATTGGCCGAGACACAGTTCAAAGTATTGGATTCTTTCAAGACTACATTCAAATTCAAAACACTATTTTACCTGCTAAAGTCCATGTAGTAAAAAGACTATATGATTCCTCTTGATGCCATTATTGGAATAGACGTTTTGCAACAAACTCGATTTACATTTGATAAAGACGTTATTCATTTATGCAACAATAATAATGATCAAATTTTTGTTAATGTTACTAATGTTACACATGATCACACCCACACATTTCCATCTTTCACTTTCACACATGTCAAAATCGGAAATTCTCCAAGAGTTCTCAAGAAGTTCATATATCATTACTCCTCACAAACCACACGAAGTTAACATTGCTATGGAAGATTTTCAGAAAATAACAGAAAATGAAAATCAGTTGAAGAAAACAAGTAAGAAAAATGATGATGCCGCACATGACGATTTAGAATTGGATTTAGATGATGACAATTTGGATTTGGATGATCACGATGACAAAGATGATGCTGATACCAATCATGGAGCTCATGACGATGATGTTGATGAAGACGGTGATGACGCAAACGACAACTTGGATCAAGATCATGATATTGATGATGACGACAATCATGAAACTAATGGTGCTGCTGATGATGATGGTACTCATGAAGCTAATGAAGATGGTGATAATGATGTCGATCAAGATGACGTTGCTGTTGTTGATGAAGATCATGTCAATGAAGATGATGTTGATGACAACGACGATGATACTGATGACAGTCATGAGACTAATGATGAAGATGATGATGTCGATAACGATGCAAACATGCAGAATACTGAAGAAATTGTGAAAAATAAACTGAATCAATTTGAAAAAGCATGTCCTGATCAAGCAAACGAGAAAACACCTGCTAAAAGTACAGAAATTCCCAAAGAACAGAAAAATAATCCAAGGAAACTACTTGTCTTTCGCATTCTAGTTGAAGCTTTTGAGGCAATAAAGAATGCTGGAATACTTGGATGAAAAATTATTGTTTCATACATTTTATCTGCTTCAAGCCCAAAGAAACGCAAGAAAAGAGCATGGAAGTATAAGCGAAGAAAATTTAAACGAACTTCAAAGACAATAAAATTGCTGACACAGCATGATGTTGAAAAAGCTGCATTCTGCACTGAAGCTCAACAAAACCCCCTCTGTTTACAGCAAGCACATATACGACAGTATAAGAAACGTCGCAAACCTGCCTGCAAATATAAACGGGAGACCAAATGCCAATCCATCCTGAACTTCCACTTCCACTTCGACTTGAACTGAAACTTGGACTTAAACTTCGTCCCAAAATCTTCGCTCCTTATGAGACAGTTCATCTCTCTGATTGTTACGAAGTACGAAAGATACGCCATGAAGACACCATTATGATGTCAAACTGTGATGATAAGATGAACCGATGGTGCACAAAGCTAACATTCGCCACCTGGGCACTGATTTTTTTCACTTTCTCTGCTTTTTGTTCTTTTTTTCTTTCTTTTCAGCTCAACCCCCAGGCGAGGACGCCTGGCAAGGCAGAATGGCCGTGTGGACATTCGCTCCTACAACTCAACCGCCTTTTCCTAAATCTGGCAACAGCTACAGCAGCGAGCTACTTCTTCAAGCTGTGTGAGGAAATGGACAGATTTGCATGCCGATGAAGTTATGACGTGACGATGGATGGAACTGAACTATGCCGCTCGACAATGTTGCTTGATGATGTAATTCTGTTTCATGATGAATAGAACTTTTCATTTTACTTCTTTTCACTCTGTACATACCATAATCATGTTTATTCTTTCATTATTAAATGCCACTGCCTTCCTCTACTTTAATCCTAACCTCATCCCATATATATATATATATATATATGAAAATTGTATTTAATAACTGCTGGTTGCCTTTCCTTCTTGTACAGTTAGAGAAGCTTGGTTGCCCAGTAAATATATAAAGAACAATTGCAGAGGGAATAAAAATCAACAAATACAATATGAAATGAATAATGAAATGTTTAGAAGATCTTAAGAAAAAGGCTCTGTACAAAGTTCTAATTGAGGGCTTATGTTCTGGAATATTGTTATGAACTCTGCTTTAGAAATGGAACATGGCGATGGTGTGAATTACAAGCCATGGTGATGTTCTATTTATGATAACTGGCTGTACCCATGTACAAGTTCAAAATAGAGCAAAACAAGTTCCAACAAAGTTGCAGGGAAGGGCACAAAGATGAAAACTTGAATTCTGTCCGGAGAAATAAAGTTCGATGTGTATAACAACTAAAAAGCATGAAATGGCATTAACCGCCTCGACAGTTAAGATGAATGATAAAACTATAAAAAGACAGAAAGGGATTAAATATCTCCGAACAATTATTGAAGAATACCTAACACGACTACCTCACATGGATTGCTTAAAAGCAAAGATAAGCAAGATTGTCAATATACAAATTCGAATGACAAGACTCTAAAACTGTTATTAAAGAATTATACAAAACAGCAATAGAAAGAATAGTTGTTTATGGTAATCCAGCATGGGGAAAATCTCCTATAGTTAAAATAAGGAAAAAGCAAACACTATTTAAAAATAGCTTTATTAGCAATGAAAAGATGCTATAAAACAGTATCTACCGCATCCCTTCAAATTCTAGCAGTGTGAACACACTACATATGCAACTTGACATAAATAGTGCTACTCAAAGGAGGAGTACAGGTTGGTGTGATTTTGAAACTTACTGTATAAATGTTAGTAAAGAAGAAAGCCTAGTCTCGAAATGGTCACAACGCTCGGCCAAGATTAAAGTATTTAAATAGGATTTGAGTTCTCCAAATGATAGAGGCTTTGAAGTATATTCGGACGGATGAAAAAATGATGATGGGACTGGTGCAGGATTCTGTATCTATGACGATGGCATATTTAAAGGAGGATATTTTTTTCTCTCTAAAAAAATGTTCAAGCCTACCAGCCTGAAACAATGGCTTTATTAAAAGCAAAAATAAAGTATTAATAAAAACATTACAGTGAATCAAAAATACAAACTAAAGACAATTCTTTATTCAGATAGTTAAGCTGTATCAAAATCAATTGATAAATATAATATCTTAAATAGAAATGTTTTAGAAGTTAAAAAGATACTTCCAAAGTCGAAAACGAGGCTTCAGTGGATCCGAGAGCACCAAAAAGACCATTGGAAATTAAAAAACTGACGAAGTATCAAAATGAGAAATTGATTCAAACTCTTCAATTTGAATGCAAAACCCCACGTAGTTATTTAACTCGTAGTGTTAGCTACGTAGTGTGTAGCCAAGAAAAAAGGAATGAAAATCTGGCAAGAAAGATGGACTGAATATAACACTAAGAGAGCTACATTTAATTTTTTCCCTAAAGTCTCAGAAAAGGCATATTTTTCTAACTTTTTCCCAATCAAGTCATGACAAATCACAGTGCGTTTCCAAGATACTTTTAATAGATTTAATCTGAAAGTAATACACTGTTTATGTAGATGTGGTATCACAAAGGTGGACGCTCTTCACTTGATTAGAGAATGCCCAGGTGCGGATGCTGAAAGACTTCAATTATTTCCCCAAGTACATTCAGAAGACAAGCTAGTACAAACGGATCGAGGAAGCACTGCTATGTCAAATTTAATGGAATCTATATGTTCAAAAGAAACTGAAATTTACTGTTAATTAGTTTGATTAATATTTGTGATATTTCTTGTATACCTAATTTTTGTGTCTGTAAATTCAGCTCTGTAATGTGTGGCTTATATTGTATTGATCTGGTATTTACGTTCTGTTATTTGTTTAAACATAAATTGTAATATATATTGTAATAAAGACGTTGGCGAGATTAACACATCTTCAGTCAGAAGACGTTAAACTTCTCTAACTTTCTAGCTTGCAGTCTCTTGAGGAATTTATATAAATATAAATAAATTAATATTAATTTTGCTGTTTACCTTAAAAGCTTTTTTAATTTAGCCCGTGGCTCCGATGATACTTCTATTAAATGATGTGAGGATTGTATTTTCCTTTTTTTATGTTGACTATACAATTTCTGATACTTATTAATTAATTTTCCAAGTTTTTTCATTTTTTGTTTGTCTTTTTTCAAGAAATAATACCTTACATTAAAGTTCAGGTACTCATGAAGCTAACGGGACTCCGGGATTGTTGCTAAATTTGATTTTTAATTTTTATGCACAGATTTTGTTGGTGCACTGATTATTGCATTTTGTACACGATGTTTTTGTTTGTTTTAAGATTAATTTTTCCGAATTGATCTCTTTAGACTATGTACAGCGTGGTAAATTCACATAATAAAATTAGAGGGGTAATAGTACACCTTCAGACGAATAATACTTATCGGAACCTAGGGCGGCATTCTACTCAGAGTGTCAGAAAACCATAAACCTAAATGTACAATTCGAGCTTTGAAGAGTTAAGAAAGAAAATTTTTAAAAAGCATAAGCTTCCACAATCCCATTCAAATGAGAGAATAATTCAAAGTAGATGCTTTGAGTGACGTCTAAAGATGCCATTGCATGGTTCACAACGACTAATGAAAGACTAGTGTACCTAAGACGAGCCTCTTAACCTCTTAGATGTCAAGCTGTGTGTTGTAACAACAATTTCCATGAGGCGAATTTCCTCGAAATACTTAGGTGTCTCCTACATTCAGGATTTGATGTGTCCCCAGATGACATCTAATGGATTTAGGTCCGGTGAAGAGATATAAGGTATTTCTCCCGCCTCCTTAGCATGCCTTCAGGTTGTAATGGTCAGAACACTCGGCGAGTAGTCGAGAGGTTCGAGTCCGGGCGAGGGCACTGCTCATTTGTCATGTCTCCTGCTGCGAAATAACCTAATATCTCTACAGTGGCGTTCGAACTAAAAACAGTGGTGGATGATGATTCCCCACCACCAGGATTAGACGATTGGGTTCCCTAATCTCCAGTCGCCCTTTAAAAGAGGGAGTAAATAAGGTATTTCTCCACACTTCTTAGAATGTCTTCGTCGTGTAATGGTCAGCACACTCGACGCGGGTTCAAGATGTCCGAGGTTCAAGCCCCAGCGAGAGCAATTTTACTTTTTTATGTATCCCGAACGAAAAAAATCCTAATGTCTCTACAAGTGGCGCCCGAACTGAAAAAATGGTGGATAATGTTGCTTAACCACCAGAATTTGACGATTGCGTCCCCTAATTGCCATTCGACCTTTAAAAGGGGGAGTATGTAATATATTTCTCCCGTCTTTTTAGCATGCCTTCGTGGTGTAATGATCAGAACACTCGGCTCAAGTTCGAGAAATCCGAGGTCCGAGGTGCCTCATGTAAGGCATTCTACATCACACTGTGACAAACACCAAGCTGGAAGCCAAAGCTCACGCACTTGTAGAATAAGATGTTGCAAGACGTGCACTTTCATGTCTGGCGTCTGCACACTTTGCTTATTCACCTTACTTTTATTTGAGACAATTTAACGAGAAGTTTTAACTCAGTATTCTATCTATGTTTGTGAAGATACAATAATATGGATCTCTAATAGCTTACTGGTACAATTGCTGTACTTCGTGTGAATTTCCACTTATATATTAGCTATTATATCATACATTTGCTCAATCATATATTAGCTAAATATTTGTCAATTATTTGCATGTGTAATCCACCATGTCATTTAAGAAGGCGATTCGGGTTATGATTTCAAATTTATTGAAGAAGTGACGCTTTTTTAGAACAACATTTGTTTCAGATCACTTTCTGTTGAACCCTGATGGGCCAATTAGCTGGAACTGTCGAGGGTGTTGCTTTCTCCACTGAAAATTTGCTTACGTCGAATGCTTGAGAGTGATGTTCAGGACATGTGTTACTTTTTAGGAGGGCAGAAATGACTTCAGAAAATATGACCTGTGCTTGTTGGTGTATTTTTAAATTGCTCCTTTCTGACACTGTCAGGAAAATGTGACCAGAGGTCCGTAGTAAATACTATTCCTTTTGAT